TGTGTGTGTGTGTTCTTTAGTAGAGCAGGTCCAGGGCAGAGATTGTGAGCTCTTCCGGCTTCTTGATCTCTGGTTTGGGCAACTTCATGCGACTCATAGCGACCACTCCACAAACGGCGAAGTGAGTCCCAACGCTGCCAACCCCCAGCCAGAAGGACCAGTCCAGGCTGTCATCCAGAACCTCCAGGACGAAGAGGTTCTCTCCATGGTTTGCCACCCGCTCAGTCAGACGGTGGTGCTTCACAGCTGCCAGGAAACAAAGAACCCCCAGGGCACCAAAAAGAGCTGCAAACAGAAGAAAGAACTTAATTTCCCTTCAGATTTAAATATCTATATTTATGATATCTGTATACAGTACTATGGCATACTAGGGGCATTGTAGATATAAAAAAAAAGAGGAGAAAAAAGCCTCCTAGGTTACCTTCCAGAAACCTTGGAAATTCAGACCACATGTCTCCAGAAATAAAGATCAAACTGAAATATGCCTTTTTTATGTTTCATTTGGATGAATGACTTCTTCCTCACTGACTGGCCTTTAGGTCCATGTCAGTACAGGACATGTTTCACTGTGAATAATCACTGTGTTACACCAGCTTCAGCTAAATCAGCGAAAGATTAGGGAGATGACAACGAGGCCGTCCAACCTCCAGGACTTGGGCCTCATTATCAAAGATAAATCATCAAATATCAGTGAAACCTGCAAAAGGCTAGTCAGCAACACTAAGAAGTGTTTGATTATTGTAATGCTATTAAAATTTGTTTTCATGAATTATTAATTAGTATTATTATTTTTAATGAATACACTCTTTACATCACTTTGGAGTGATGATTACCTTATTTTATATTAGACACAAACTTCTTGATTGAATAAAAAAATATTTTAAACCTAAATATTAAAGGGATTAAAAAATGTTTGGGTGTAATTGTTAGTAATTTAGTTTAAAAAATTATAAAGATAAATAAATAAATAATACAAAAAAGCCTAATAAAGGCAAAACATGTTGAAGCCAAGCAGAACAGTGCAGTGTTTTTACCAGCAATGAAGTTCCATAGGTAAAGTCCTTTGTGCCCTTTGATGCTCTGGTAGGGGACCTTGCGTGCGTTGTAAATGCAAAAGGACAGGCTGACCAGGGCAAAGCCAACTGCCCCCAGCAGGAAGAGAATCACCATCATGTGAAGACCCCCATTCAGTGTCTGCACCAGCTTTGGAAAAACTACAGAGGCGCACAGAACAGAGGGACGAGCTTAGGGAGGAAACCCTCAGATCCTTTCTTTCTTTATTCTCAGTCCAGAACCTTTTGACAGCATATTCTTTATTTGCTTGATAAACAACTTAACTTTGACCTGTGATGCATTTAAGTGAAAAAAAGCTCCTAATTTTTTTCCCAACATATGTTTATTAGTTATTTTTCCATTTTAATACAGACAAACAAGCAAAAAATAGGGAGACAGAACCAACTGCCACACAATAACATTAACATTACATTACACCAGCTCAAAAAAATAATTATATATATATATTTATATATATATATATACACATACAAAAGCTCCTAAAATTAAGCTTTTAGGAGCTTTTGTATGTGTGTATACATACAAAAGCTCTTTTTGTATGTATAAAAAATTATATCTATCTATCTATCTGATCTTAAGTGATTTTAAGTTGTTGAAGATTTTGTTTAAGCTCTGAAGCTTTTCTGTTTTCCTCCCTTTCTATATTTTTAATTAGAGATGTAGTCAAAAAAGTATTTAAGTAAGAGTAGCACTACGACATATTTTTATTTGAGTAAAAGTAAAAAAAAAAGAAAAAAAAAGCTTTTACTCATCTTTTTTAAAGTTTCATAAGTTTTACTTTGAAAGAATTTTATTGCTTGATTTTGATATTTTGTAATGCTGTTATTTACATAAATTATTCCCATTTTGGTCCTTAAAATACCAGCATTTTCATATAACTTAATATTTTGATGATGTCATTTTTAAATATTAAATGATGATTTGATCAGTTACATGACTAGCCTTTTTACCAAACGCTTTTTTACTCTTGAGTAATTTTTTGTTGACGGCTACTTTCTACTTTAACTTGAGTAAAGTTGAAGTAGTGCTACTAATGTGTACGGTACTCTCCACCTCTCTCCATTACAGTCACTTTGGATCTTACTGTATATTTTGGAGCGCCTGTTCCCGAGTCCGCACCTCTTGGTCTTTCCTCCCTGGAACAAACCGTAGTAAATGTCCCCGATAAACTGGTCCAGCTCCGGACTGGACGCGTTCACTATGTCCACCCCGGTTTTACACAGGATCCGTCCGACAACCCACCGCTCTGTGGACAGGGCCACCACCAGGAAGGCCACCGAGCCGACACACAGCGCCGAGGCCACCGAGAATGTTATTCGTTTCCACAGAGAAGGCATCTTACGAGCCCATGGTGCCCCGGGGAAGGTAAGAGGACGCCGGGCAGCGGCCGCGGGGCGGGCTCGGGGATCACCATGGGTTTATGGAGTCGTTTATCGTCTCCTCTCAGCTCGGGAAGAGTAAAGCTATGAAGCTTCATGAAAAGCCGCTGGGCCCGGCGTGATGTTGCATCTATTCATGTGTAAGTCACACGGGAGGAGAAATTGAATCTATGGGCGTCAGGGAGATCTCTTACCGGGAGAAACTCGATCCGCATCCCGGTTTCTGCGCGCGCATACACAAACAAACACACACACATTTATTCACGGGAGAAATTAACCTTTTCCAACTCCAACTTTGAATCAATCATTTCTTATGGCTTATAGTCTGAGCTCCTCAATCAGCTGTAAAATTAAACGCATTCTTAAAGTCAAATGACTTTAGGGTCGCTGATACAGCAATGACCCTAAAGGTCAACTGAAAGCATCGACTCAACATGTTGACCTGAATAATGTCCCATCCTTCATTTCTTCAATTCCTCAATTAAATTAATGATGCTTAAACTGTATTACAAACCCAGCTCTGTTGAAAAAAAGCATTTTTATTTTAGTTTTTGCCTTTTTGTTACTTTTAAAATTTCAGACCATTAAATAACTTTTATTGTCAGGCAAAATTAACCTGAGTAAATATGAATTGCAGGTTTCAAATGATTTCAGTTAGGGATCCAAATGAACTTAAAGTTAACAACTGCTATATGTCAAACAGTATGCACCGGCACATACCAACAAATACAAGACATAAAAAGAAGACATAATTACTAAATACTTTCTATCATCAATCAGGACAGTGTTTTAGATGCAAGACATATTTGATTTTAAGGTTACTGTAAAAACCTGACTTTCCCATTATGTTATTGTTTCCAACTTAAAAATGGAAACTTCTCTTTCTTTTTCCAAGTAAAACTGTACTGTTGTTTTAAAATGTCAATTAGCTTGGCAGTATTTTAAAATGTAAGAATGTTGAATTAATTGACAGCTTCTGCATAAATCCAACATTAGGGATTTGTATTATGAAGAAAAGTTTATTCTCTTCTAAAAATGTAAAACATAATCTTGTCTATTAAGAAAATACTTAAAGAATAAAACCTTGAATTTTTAAAGTATGTGTTTATTGTACAATATTTTTGGAAGAATATGAACCAAATCAGAGTAGATAAATTGCTGCCTCTTCTGAAGAGACCTGGGTCCTGCTACAGTGCTTTGTGATTAAATCACCTTTCTCTAGAGACTCAGCTTGGAGTAGGGTGAGGAGTGCCAATATTCTATGGATTCACAAAATAATAATGCCAAATATATCTTTGTAAATAAACAAATCCACTTTAATGAACTTTAAAAGAAATTAGGATATTTGAAAATAATTGAAAATAATCCCTATATCCCAACACATGGTATGTGATATGGTATATATCCACTATGTAAGAAAATTAAGAAAATATATTTTACACAGAGAGAAATATTATGATTTTTTTTTTTTCCTTTTTGTTGTCAAAGAAAATATATTGAGAGGTAAACAATAAACTACACATTCTAATGGTCATTGTCATGGTAAAAAAAGAAGATTTTTCTTTTCAGTCTATATTTTTTAGGACAAAGACCCAATAAAGAGCTATTTCACCAAAGCAGTAAGAAGACATAAGACCAAAATTGAACAAAAGTAAAAGTAAAATTTCTGCTGAATACTCTGCAAAAACGTCTAAACCACTTCTTGGTCACTGATCACTAGTCAGTCTCAGTGTTGTAAACACTGACTCTTTTCATTTGAGGAGTTACAAAGTCCTTTATGGGCAGAAAAATCCCCCCATAATTTTTAGCGTGTATTTTGATCAAACTAACTGTGAGCAGTCATCAGGTTTTGAAGATTCAGGTAGAAGTCAACAAAAACTTTGGCGACACCTTCTGGTAAAATGGTGAAGATGCAGTGCGTGGTGACGTCACGGCGCGTTGCGCAGTCTCCCTGGCAGCAGCTGAGGCCGTTTTGTCGAAGATGGCGGATTCGCTGTCGACAGGTCTGGTAGAGGAGAAGGAAAATGAGAAAGAGGACAAGGAGAGAGCCACCAAGGCCGTTAACGTGGACCTGAATAAAAAGAAAGACGAAGTTGCTGACACGCGGGGGTTTCATGATAAAAATGGCGGCGCTAGAGGCCAAAAAGGCAACCTGTCAGGTGAGAGTCAGCCTGGTTTCTATAATTTCACTAAACAAACAGGCTGCTGGAGCTGTTGTTTCTATTTGTCAACAAGCACTTACACGCATATTTGCTCCTTGCATTATAGCAAAGACATTCAGCTCTCAGTTTAAATGAATTTCAGTGACGTGGAGCTGTGCAGCAGTGTCTAGTCAGATGCAGCAGTTGTGTTTACCACACTGAGATTGACCAAAACAATACAAAGACCTATCCGGTGGCGATGCACCTAAGTATTATGTATTTTATCACAGCGGTTTCTGGTAACAAATTGATGTAAAGGTGCAGGTCAGGCTGCTTGCGTCTTCGTTTTGCTGGATGTAGATACATTGCGCAGGCGCATTAGCAAGCTTTTTCACATAAGCGTTTGTGTGCAAAGTGTTAGTTTTTAATTGCAGCAAATCGTATGAATCAACGAGTAATTATCAGTGTCCTTGTCTATGAATTTCGTCTGTCCAAAATCGGAGTGAACGTGCCTGGTTCCTTCGTTCGTGCTGCATTCATTACATTACACCTTGTAATTCTGTGACAGGCGTTGCTTTGTCTGTGGCTTTTTTCACGTTTCTTTACAAGGTCCAAAAACTACAGCATGCATTCTCTACAGAATTGAGTTCGTGAATGCACACAATGAATTGAAAAATCATTTTCGATAACTAAATTCAAAAAGTAAAGTTTTCATATGTAGAAATATTGCACAGATATTTACATACTTTAAGTGGCTATATCTGTTAATTTTGATTTTTACTATATTTAATGTTTTGGGAAATTATGTATTACACATAACCAATATATATTGAAACATGACCACAATGTGATTCAGAAACCAATCTTTCTATCCAAACGGTCTACAGATTATGTTTAAGTTATGTGACTGAAAACGGGAGAAGACAGCGTAAACAAATGTAACATTAATTTGAAACAATGCTGTAAGGTTCTGTTCTGTACCAAATTCCATCAGTTTATATTTAAACAAAAATAGGTTGGGGAAAAATTCTGTAACTTAAATGAGCAGTATTTAAGTTAGTTTAACGGCTTGGCTTTTTCTTAAGTAAATATAAAACAAGAATTATCCAAAATATAGTATTTTACTGAAAACTAAGCAGACTAAAATCAATTTTTGAGCATTTTAAAATGTTTCAGAATTCCCAGAACTATGAATTGCAATTCTTACAATAATTTTTTTTTCTTTCTGCACCTTCCCTCCAGATCATAAAACATATTTGGTTTTATGACCTGGAGCTGCCACCCTGTTGTCACAAAGAAAGAGAAAAAGCTCCACTAGCAGCAGGAGTATTCACAGCCATGAGAATTTTTGAAGCACAGTTTGGAGGAGACTGGAAGTCTGAGCTTCAAGAGCTGCCAAGCACAGATATTTCCAGGATATGGGAGCTGTCACATTCCTTTTGTTAATCTACTCTTTAACTAGATCAGATGAATGTAAATTTAGCATTTCATTTAGAAATTGATGCTCATGTATTAAGTGTTATCAGAAGAAGGTCACATCTTATCTAACCAGCTCATGGTGGCTTCTGAAGAAGACCTGATGAAGGAATTTATTTAATTTCTAATGTCCATTTTTCTTCCTTTAATTATTTATATGTCTGTGTGATTACTTCCAGATCTGTCTCTGGTCAGATTCATAACCACTGAGCTAACCAGAGGCTACTTTCTGGAACACAATGAGGCCAAATACACGGAGCGCAGAGAGAGGGTCTACACCTGCCTCCGCATCCCCAAAGAGCTGGAGAAGGTAAGCATACGAGCTCCAGAGAAGTCCATCATCGATCACTCCCACCAGAGTTAAACACACACGTTTACATGTCCATCTGTCGCCTCTCCCTGCAGCTGATGACTTTCGGCTTCTTCCTCTGTCTGGATACATTTCTGTACGTGTTCACCCTCCTGCCACTCCGAGTGATTCTGGCCCTTTTGCGACTCCTGACTGTGCCATGCTGCGGCCTCGGGTAATCTGCACTAATAGCTGTGGGGAATGAGACAGGTTGAAGCCAAACTCAATGGGTAATAAGCAGATACTAAAGTGAAACCAGATATAGATGTTTAAAGAGGCAGTGTTATGTAAAATCAAATTTTTTTTAGCTTCACATCATGTTCTAATGTTATCCCATCATCAAAAACATACCTGGAGTGTTGCCTTGATTCTTTCATGGTTGTTTGAGAAATCTTCTAAGGCTCTGCCTGACAGTGCAGTCCTCTCCTGCTCCTATAGACTAGCCAGCAGCAATTAGCAAACACCTGTTGGAACTACGCATCTGCTTAGCTCATCATACAAACTAAGTGTCAGTGAAATGCTGGTAAACACGTTGTTAAAGGGTTAATAGAGGAGCCATGTATTGATGACTTCCTGGACGCAGAGTTTCAGAAAGAGAAGGAGTCTTTAAAGAGACAGAGGCCCAATTTCCAGGCGTTAAATAACAAAGTTAAATTTCTTTTAACTCGTTTTTGATATACATATAGAGCATTTTTATGATAACTGAAGGCAACATAGTTAGCCTACTTGATTGTGCTATCAAATGGCACTTTGTGCCTTGAAAACACATAATACTGCCCCTTTAAGCAAAATAAATAAGACAGAAGATTAAGCGATGCTGTAAGTTTGAAATATGTTATTATTTTACATCTGCAGGTATATAATTTGCAGATGATTTTAATACAGATTTATTGAAAATTTTCCACATATTGTCTTGTCACAAGTCAATGACTGGACCTCAACATTCCTGCTCTAGCACATAAAATGCCATTCAAATACATTTAAGTTTGTAGGGATAACATGAGCAGGTGTGGAAAAACTCCAACACTTCAGATACTTTTGCAAAGCAGAATCATTTATAGTTATTAATGGGGATTTTTTTTACATTGTAAGTCTTTAGGAAAGTATTTAATTGTCTATAAAAGTGACTTTTTTTCTATATCTTATATGTTTGATTAAATCTAGTATCTATACTATTCATACTATTTGAAAGTTGTAAGTAAAAGCGCATTGAAATTTTGGCAACGTTTTCCCGTGGCAATATT